TCAGGGGGGGGATCGCCTCAGCCTGGCGGCGGTCACTGGCCTCTCGCACCCCAGCGTGAGGGGGACACCCTCAGCTGCCCCCACCCCGCCTCAAGCCGGAGGGGGCTCCGGGCAGGGTGTGCAGCACCCTGTCCCTCACCGCTCATGAGGGCTTTGGCCCTGTCCCTCACCGCTCATGAGGGCTTTGGGGGGTGTGTGTGTGTGTCCCTGTCCCCTCAACCTGACTCACACAGGGAGAGTGAACTCCCGTTAGCATCCATACTGTAGGGGTGTGGAAGGAAACTTCTGCCCAGGACCCTAAAAAAACCACAAAAGCTTACAGCCAGCTTTTTAAAACCTAGCCACTCTTGGGGTGCTTGTGGCAGGACTCCAAACATCCTGGCAGCCATACTGCACCCAGGGATCTGTCCCTCACAGGACATCACTGAGGCCGTCCTGCGGCACCAATGTCCTATTCCTCCATTTACTTACTGCTTTAGTCCTCTCGGTGTGTTTTGGGTGGGTTTCACTGGGCTGGCAATGATTCCTCAGCGCATCAAGCCTTGAACATCTGACCACTAAGTCTGACCAAGCCTGCCTCTACCACACTTCAGCCCAATCCAAAGCTCATTGCGGGCAACAGCAAGAAACGCTGATTTCTGTGGATTTTTGGATTAAGTTTATCTGGGAGGTGTTAGTCACAGGTGACTGCACACAGCCTGTGGCAGGCAGGCATGTGCCCAGCTACCTGCAGCTACGACCACGCGTTAGTCATCCACGGTCAACCCATTCCTGTGATGATATGTTAGTAACTAAATACAGTAATTTGTGTTTCTATACTGCTGGCCAGCTAGGATTTTCTACACTCTGTAGGCCCCAGCTATTGTGCTCGAATTCACCCTCTCAGAAGGAGCAGCAGTTGAACACGCACACTGCAAGCACGACAGCTTCATCTGGCTCTCCAAGCTCCTGCTTGAACGTTGGCGGGCAAATCGGAAGCACTGTATTTTCTGAGACTGCTCAGCCATTAGGATGCTTTTGGGCTGTTAGGACTGGGAATCTCGGAAAGGGATTTAAATCCAGTTTCAGCAATTTGTGACAAGTACATGAGGAATACAGCCGGAGAAGAAGTGGTTACATACCTGAGGCAAAGCACTGGGCAGCGAGTGAGCTGGACTCTGCTCTGCTGTTCCCCACCCTGCGACACTTTATGCGCAGTCCTGAGTAAGTTACTTAATCTTACCTAGGTCTTCCTGTTCCTGCTTTGGACATCATGTATCTGAAAAGCACTAGAAAGTTATTGGAGCATTCAGATGGAAGCAGTGCATAGGGTGTTCAGACCATTTCTTAGGGGAGAGGAAAAAAAAGGGTCTTCCAGTAAAACAACTGTTAAGAATTCCTTGTCTTCACTGAAAATTGGATTAGATAACAAGACTTAAAAACGGCAGGAAATGGAAAATACATTGTTCTGCTGAGGTCATAAATGGAGTAGTTTCAGAACAGATGGACTCCATTTACCACTTCATCAAAATTTTGTGGACCTTCTGAGTACACAGATTGTTTAACATCATTTCTGTATACCCACAAATATTTGCTATCCCAGAGTAAGATCTAAAATTCCTGCATGATTCAGTGTGACCGACACTGTAATATTTTTTTTTAATGGCAGCAGTTCCAAAACACTCTAAGTATTGTATGTACACTGTTGTGCAGATTGTTCTTAAGCGATTGGTAATTACTGTAACACATTTCTAGCAAAATGGATGTAAAAGGAAAAAAAGTAGCATATGAAAATTAATATCCAGTTAATTAGCTGCTGTATATGCTAGGTATAGACTTCCCTTTTCTTTTTCTGCTGCTAATTTTTCTCGAGTGCTGTGCAGCTGAAGTACAGTCAGGGACAATTGTCAAAATGCAGATGCTACTACCACCCCACACTGGAGAGCACCCGACATTGTCGGGAGCCCTGCTCAATGCCACCACCCAAGTGTCAGGTTCTGTCTTGGGTGAGAAAAAGTGATAGCACCGAACCTGCCCTTTTAATGGTTTATCTTTTTGCACCTACAGATTGATCTAAAATCAATTTCCTATGCGTACACGATAACTGCAAATGTTTGATATCGTGAAAATGCAGCCCTTAATTGAAGGTCCACCTTGAAATGATGTTGTCCAAAGTAGAATAAAGCAACCCCTGGGGTTTTATTTGCTTCTGTGAAAGTGTTCTTCATAGACAAGCAAGCATTATTATTTTCAAGCTCTTACTTGGAAAGAAGTCCAGCAGCTCTGCAATGATACATACTTAGTGACTGTGGAAAACCGAACTGTTAAAACACACAAATCTAATCTTTCCAAAGATTGAATTGGATAACTATAACCTATCATAAATAATTTTAGATTTTTAGTTAAAATAAAATGCAACACATTAGCTGATAAAATCTAATAAATAAAATTTAAAAATAGTTTAAATTTGATTTTTTTAAATTATTTGTAGATAGGATGTTTATACCAAATCTACTTGCAGCATCATTTACAAACTGAGTTATAGAGCATTACAGAAGTCAGATGTGTGCTTCAGTGTAAATTTTCATAGGACCCAGTGCCATGAATAATG